GAGAAGTGGCAACCCATGACCAAAAAAAAAAGCATTCTTTAAAAAAAAAAAAAAAAAAAAAAACAATCGAAAGGATTCAATATACTTTTTCCATGAAATGCAGGGGGGAATGGGGGGCGGGTGGGGTGGAAGAATCTGGAAAAATCTAAAATATGAATAAAAAAAAAAAAATACTGAAAAAAGAAAATGGAAAAAAAAACCCCAAGAGAATTGCAAATATACTGGGGTCAACTGTAGATTTAAGTGCACTTCCACTGGGTCTTCCTGTATGCTGCAATATGTTACAACGTGAGCAGGACGAATCAATTCTGTGGATTTGAAATGATATGCAGGACAAACACATCACACAATAATATTAATATATATGATTTTTTGCGAGAAAACATACACCATGAGTTGTTATATTGAATGGTTGGCTTCTTGTTCAGCAGTTTTGTGCCACCCTTGGAGGATTATTTTTATGTTACTGAGACCTTTGCACTCTATATAATATATATTACTGTTTTATTTTATATATATATATTACTGTGAGGAAAACATTTTCTTGCTACAAAGTAAATTCCATCGAGCAACAAGCGGCCGTGCGAATGAATGAGTCTGCACTGCTGGAGGGCACACGACTTGGTCACTTTACCTGTGCAGGTCGACCTTATCAAACTTGGCTGGCTCGGAAGGAGATGTGGTGATGGAGTCCGTTTTTATCACGTGCTCCAATCCGTTCAACTTGTAGGCGCCGTATAGCACGTTGTTCCTCAGGACCATGCCGATGTAGTTCTTGGAGGGCTAGAGAAGGCCGTCTGTTAATGATTTCAATTCATCCAAACCGGGATCCCCCGCCCCCCCCGATACGCACATCCCTGTTGCCAAGGTACAACACAAACATGTCTCCTTTGTCTGCGGCCTGCCTGCGCCTGCGTCTTCCATCGCCCCTGCCCTCGGGCCTCTGCAGCGACAGAGACAAGTCGGTGTAGGCCTTCAGTTCCTCCAGGTTCTTGGGCGGATGCAACTGCACGTGACCATTGCCTGTGAACTTCATCGGGATGGAAATCTGGAGGAACATATGGATGACTGTTAGGAGAGGACTTGCAGTAGTTGATAAATTAGGGCGTAGCCAGAGCTAATTTTTTGTGGGGTGGCCTGGGTGATGCAACAGCTCACTGGCCATGGCCACGGGGTGATCAGTGCACGCTCATAACCCCTTCCGGGCCAGAGAAGCCATTGTTTATTATACAATCCACAGTCGGGGTTTCATGAATAAAACCCAAAACAATGTTTTATTGAGCTTAATTTACTCTCGATAATGTCATTTTATTTGTTGTCGCTTGGCTTTTGAGCACCATGTCATCGTCTATTCCTGTCTCATTCACTGATTTGCATTTGCTAGCTAACTGTCAATCAGAGTGATCAGTTGTCACTGATTGCCTATCCCGCTTTGCTTACTCCTGATTTCCACTGCTTACTAAAAATGCAACAAAAAAAATAAATAAATAAATCTTAATTCTTCATATTTTTAAAGGCTGCATTTTACGTTGGTTTGTTGCTGCTGTATTATGAAGGCGTTGGACAAGACTGATATATGTGTGCATTTAATTTCATGAAATCATGACTGTGGATGGTATGATCAACAATGATTTCTCAGTCATGTTGTTTGGGCCAGGAAGGTATAGCGTAGCCACCACATAGGCCCACCACTGTGCATAGTTTACAAAGAGAGTAACGTTACCCTGTTGGCTGCATCGCGCGCTTGGTTGATGAGATCCTTGAGTTTCTTGACGTTGTCCGTGATGTTTTTCAGCGGCATAAACTTCGAGGTTAAGGTCTCCACTTCCGAGATCTTGTCGCTCAAAGTCGGGACGGTTTTCAACAAGTTTTTCACTGAACACAGGGAGGAAAAAAAAAATGCGGTTTTGTACAAATATCACAGACTATCGTCTTCCTCCATCTTATCACCTGTTTGGTCCACTTCGTCCAATAAGCCGCCGAGGTTGGAATCCCCGGGGGTGACGTTGATCTTTTCCATTTCCTTCCTGATGGCGTCCAACTTGTCCATGGTGTCGCTGGCCGAGACATTAGCGGAAGCGGCCTTCCTCTTGGCGTCGTCGATCATATTTACAATGTCATCTGACGGGGAGGAAAGCGAGCGAAACGGTGGGGGTTCCTGCAGACTCCGACGTCAGAACGACTGCTCGCAACAGACGTCGCACGCTACCTCTTTTAATGTCGTTCAGCTGCGTTTGCGCATCCTGGAGGTCAGTCTCAAGGTCATTCTTTTTCCTCTCTGCATTCGTCAGGCGCCTCTTGATGTCAGGAATTTCGTTGGCAGCATCTGGGCAAATAGACAGAAGAAGAAGAAGAAGTGAGTGTGTGCTTGTGTTATCGAGGGAAAGTGAAAAGAACGGATGCTTACCCGCCAGGATACTCTCTGCTTCTTCTGCATTCTGCACCAGTTCTGCACCACTTTCATTCAGGTCTTTTGCCCTCTCAGCCAGCTTTTGTTTTTTTACATTCTGATAACAAACATATTACATGCAATGTATTTACTATTAGATTGTGATGAATTTGTGTATCATTCATTTTTTGCATATTCAATTCGCAGTCGAAAAAGTAACAGATTTTAATCAACATTTTTTTTTAAATTGAAAAAAAAAATACTGACTATTCATAATTTAATGTTCGGCTTAGATCAAAAATACCAAACTGATAAATAGGTCACAGGGTTGAGTTTGAGTTTTAGAACTAGCTAGAACAAGCTAACTAATCTTTCCAAACACTCTTGACCAAACTTCACTTAGTCCTGTGTCTTGTCTTTCCATTTTGTGTTTTTGATCTGACCCATGAATTTCATTGCGAAAATTGAAATACAAAAAAAAAAAAGAAAAAAAAAGATTTCTGGTAACCATTTGAAGATAGAAAGAAGAAATGAAAGATATTATTCCACGACTTACGTTCAAGGCTTTGTCTGCGGCATCTTTCGCTTGGTTAGCGGCGGCCTCAGCAGCTTTAACGGCGTCCGTGATGTTCTTATAGGCATCGATGGCGTCATTGGCATTACGTACTTCAGGGCGTTCGCTCGCAGCTTTCACAGCACTGCAAAGACAGAAGAGCTCTGAGTGCCTCGTAGTCAACTATAACCACAAACCTCCACTACGCTTTTTTTTTTTTTTTTGGGTGACAAGTAAAATCTGTGGATGCCGAACCACGATTCTGCAGTGATGTAGTTCACATTAAGAAAAAAAAAAAGAAAAAAAAGAAAATATTGATGGTTATAAAGTGTACATTGTAAATGCGTGCTTTAAAATAGATTGAAAATACAGTCATACCTCGGTTTTCGACCAGAATCCGTTCCAGAAGGCTGTTCGAAAACAGATTTGGTCGAGAACAGAGACGTTCGAAACCCGAGGTTTGACTGTAAATAATATGTTGTGCCTGAGCAAGTGCACACAACATAGAATACTGCGCGGTACTCGTTGCACGTTGTCATGAACCTACTCCTCCAGTTCCTTCGACAGCTTTTTGAGATTCTTAGCGTGGTCCTCTGCATCCTGCACCACGCCCTCCTTGTTTGTCGCTCGGGAGAGCTCGTTGACCTTCCTGGTCAAGTCGTTCTTGCCGCCATCCAACTGAGCGGCCAACTTTTCGTACGCCTGCCGAGAGCAAAGGCAATTCGGGCGAATTATATTTCCAGCATTCCAGTGATCTCACCTCTGCAACAATGATGAGACGCAGCGATCCTTATCCGCAGGGTCCGCGTGTTGGGACCTGACGGCTATCTCACTTACATCGCGTCGTTTATCATAAGCGAGCAATAATATTACCAAATTCTTCATGTGTTTTTCGTCCTCAGGGTGTACTCAGAGTTCAATGAGTTTCATGTTCATGCATGCAGAGATTGCACGATCTCCGTTCGGGCAAAAATCCAACATCAGCAAAGTGTAGCTTTTTTTTCCATCCCTTTCAATTAGGAGGCTGATTGAAAAGACTATCCTGTGGTGCGGGTTGAGTTGAGCGTGATTATTCCAATCAGGTCTTATTTCTGGATGCCCTGTGGCATTATGCTGCCTCTCATAGGTCAGTCCTGGTACTACAACAGGCATCTGGTTTGGGGGTGGAGACTCGCAATGGTCCATGGAGATTTCATAACGGCCACGTTGCTCATCTCACGCTACAAGAGCAATTAGAACACACATGACAGTTTTTTTCGTCGCCGCCTTATGGGCGACTCTCAGAATTTAAAGGTCAGCGATGATGTCGTTGTGTGTGTGCAGCGCACTTCATTTAGTTTCCACGCACCGTTTTGTTGTTGGAAAGCCCTTTGACTAAATCTTCGATTCTCTTCAGCTCATTTGCCGCCTGGGTCATCTGGTCCTTGACGGTCTTCCGCTCCATCTTTAAGTTGTTAATGCGATTCTTTTGGAGGGGAAAAAAAATGGAAGAAATTGTCAAAAGGTCAAAACATTAGGTACCCCTGTGAGAGCTGTCTGCACGTCAACTGCATTTGGTTACCAGCAGCTCCGGTACGGCCTGAGCGTTGAGTCCATTCTGGGCGTGAGCTTTCTTCACCAGCTCCGTGGCGTCCTTCAGGGACTTGTCCAGCTCCTTCAGTTTGCCGTCGTAGGTGTTCAGTTGCTCTTTCATCTTGGCAGCCGAGTCCTCGTTCTGGCCCAACTGCTTCGTTAGGTCGGTCTTGATGTAGTCCAGGACTGGATAAGACAGTAGAAAACAACCGAGCAATTTAGACCGTTTAACTATTAAGAAATTAATTAATCAAAGCACTTTGTGAGCCCCCTTTGTGAAAAGTTGTTTACACGTCAAATGTGCTAACCAATCGCACTTAGATCTCTCATCAGATCAGATATAATTTCTTATGCTTATGTAGGGTCTCTTTATAATGTGTTTTCTTTGAAACTTTTCGCTAAATCTCCAAGGTGAGAGCTATTCACTCATTGGTTGATACAAATACGGAAGGAAGCCTTGGATGAGGTGCTTGTGTTCAAGGTGTGCATGTGACGTGGCGTCCTACGTTTCATGGCTTCGTCCCTTTCCTTGTCAGCAGCGGTCTTCTGTGGCGTGAAGTTCCTGTTCTCCATCTCCTTCACCATGCGCTGGGCCTCGTCCAGCATCTTGGCCGCGTTTTCACCAAGCGGCGTTCCCCCGCTGGAGCCCGCGTCCTTCAGTTGGTTCAGCAGAACTGGAAGAAGAAAGAAAAGAAATGATTGACAGATTGTTCATGTTGAAGGAATGTCTCACAAGCTGTACCTTGAATTTTCAGGAGCATGTTTCGAATCTCTAGGTCCAAATCCTGAGCCCTCTTGTGGGTTTTTTCAACTCCGAGAACTGCTTTGTCCGCATCCACAGCTGTCTTGTCAGCCTGAATGTGAATGTGATTCACACGTTTTTTTTCCCCACACATAGCAGTAAATGAACGAATTTAATCAAAAGATTTGTTTATGACCTTGTCTTGAAGAGAAGTAATGTCCTCAGAAAGACTCAACATGTCGTCTTCCAGCTGCTTGAGCCTGGAACCTTGGCCATTGACAGAGATACTGTATTTGTTCACCAGAATCTGCAAAAACAAACACAAAAATAGAAAGGCATATTTATTACGCCAAAACATAAAATCTTGTATCAAAATAACATAATGAATGGGAAAAAAAGAACAATAAAGTAAAGTGACTATTTAAAAAAAATAATTTGTTAAATTGGTTAAACCACACCAAGTATGCAACTCTTGCCCTGCCTCACCCTTTGACATTTGGATTTTTGGCCTGTTTTACTGCCACTTCTACTCTCTCCTCCCCTCCAAATAAGTAGTAACATCCATCCATCCATCCATTATCGGAAACGCTTTAGCCTCACGAGGGTCGCGGGCGTGCTGGAGCCTGTCCCATCTGTCTACGGGCAGTATGCGGGGTACACCCTGAACTGGTTGCCAGCCAATCCCAGGGCACACATAGACGAACAACCATTTGCACTCACAATCACACCCAGGGACAATTTGCAGTGTCCCATTAACCTGCCGTGCATGTTTTTGGAATGTGAGAGGAAAGCGGAGTACCCGGAGAAAACCCACGCATGCACCGGGAGAACATGCAAACTGCACACAGTAAAGCCGGAGCTGGAATTGAACCCTGCCCCTCTGCATTGTGAGGCCGACGTGTTAACCAGTCGACCACCGTGCCGCCATTAACCGAATATTTTTTGTGGCAAACACTGTCCTGTCAAGAAACACTGTCAAGAAAACGCGTTGCCAATTTTCGGAGCCCCAAAACCAAGTTAAGGCACAGTGTGGGACAAAATGAACCGCGATTCCTTATCAGTGATCCCGTCTGGAATGTTTGCATAAGCACACCCATCCCATCATTCGGCATTGGCACGCAAGCCTGACTGTCAAGACGCGCAAGTATGTGCTGCATATGTACATCAAATGAAGACAGGTGTGTACATTGCACTTGCGGCCACACATGAGGCATCGGGATGGATGAAAATGCGTCTCGACTTGTCAAGCAGAATCCCGCAGTTTAAAAGTAAAACATCTCCACTAGAAAAACAAAGACTTTTTTCCTCCCCATTACCTTGGTGTCCGATAGGGCTTGCTCAAGCTTCCTGAGCCTGTCCTGGGAGGAGGCGCTGGCGGAGGCGTTGTCCAGCTGAACTTTGATATACACCAACTTGAACTCCAACTTCTCCAAGTCTTGTAGTAAAGTCTGGGCGCAGTTGTCACACTCTGGAAATGAAAAAGAACTTTTAAAATAAGCATGACGGAAACCCGAAGACTCTTGAATGTTTATTCACCCGCGCATCGGTCATCTGTGTTTGTGTCTCCAGGCTCCAGCGTGCTCTTGCAAACTGTCGAGATTAAAAAAATATCTGGATCAATAAATATTTACAGTACTCTTTCCCTTAAAATCCTTATTATTGGTGCTTGGGGTCTAATAAAGTTTCCCATCAGTGAAAAATGAATTGCTGTATTTCTATTATTAGATGGACGAGGTAACCTCCGGTCCTGGGATCACAGGTGTTGCCAATTCCGTTACAATTACAAGGACGACAGCTTCCCCCTGGAAACATCGGGTCACCATAGAAACCAGGAGCGCACCTGTAGGAAGTAGAAATGAAGAAAGTGGAATCAGTATAAGAGTAGAAATCGACCCCAGCGGAAAAATAAATGCTTGAAAAGACGTGTTTGAAATTTCCACTGTTTTGCAGATTTTCACCTATTGTTGCTGGGTCTAGAACAGGGGTGTCGAACTTATTTTAGTCGCGGGACAATTTGGAGTTACGTCTTCCCTCGGAGGGCCGTTATGACAGTGAAACCACAAAATTATTACTCGTACACAACAAATTTAATAGATTACTTGTTTTGAAATCGGTCAAGTCCATGAACACAGTTTGTTCAATTATTGTTCAAGTGAGTGTAAACGGGTAAATTATTGCGAAATCTCAATGTTATTTATTACACATGACAATTTGACATTTCGGTACAGATTTTAACAAGTTGACGTACATGATTTGCTTTTGCGGGCCACATAAAATGACGTGGCGGGCCGGATCTGGCCCCCGGGCCTTGAGTTTGACACCTGTGGTCTAAAACCTTCCTCCCCTGCGATACTTACTTTTCGCATTTGTCTCCAATGTATCCTGTTCTACAAATGCACTGGAAGTCTCCGTAGATCTGTCTGCAAGCAACTGCAAAGCTAGAAATGTAACACGTGTGTTATGTAACGACAGAAAATCCGGTTCAGATTGCAGTTTTGTTTTTGTCCGTTTTGCTTCACTCACTTGTTTGATGCAGTACTTAGAGGACAGGGGCACACCTGGCACATCGGCTGAGCCGCGTTACCATAGTAACCTTCTCGGCAGTATTCACATCTGTTTCCGGCTGTGTTGTACTGACAATTCTGAAACAAACAAAGAGGACAACATTGGATTTTGCAAGGCCAACCTAAATGGACCATCAAGTCTTTTCTTCCCGACACACATGCCAAGGGAGGTTAAGAGGAACAACGCCCCCGCCCACCCTTCGCCAAGTCATTGCAGAGAATGCGCTTGATGTTGATTTGACGTGCGCTGTGCTGTAAGGGCGGCGCACATGCAGCAACGCAGGCCCGGTCTTGCATGATGATAACATAATGGAGATAGTTGGGAAGTTTAAATGTGCACAGGCTCATCCTCCACTCAGGAAAAATGACGACAAGGAGACGCCATAGGGAATATTTGTGGTGATTTGAAAAAACATAATAAATAAATAAGAGAGGCATGAGATAGGTGGCAACATGATTTTAAAACATATTCATTTTTGAGGTTTTTTGTCCTATTTCTACTTTGTTTACATATGTGTGGAATTGCACCAAAATGAAAAACCAATTTGCGTAAAACTCAAGTCGATGAAGGTGGCAAAGGAGCGATTTTTAATTTTTTTTTTTGCATTCTTTAGGTGAGCCACGGCAGTTATTGGAAAAATCTCACGGCGCATCACCATCCAAAAATATCAGGACTGAAATCGCTATCAATTTTTTTTTTTTTTAAATAAATTTACTTCGAGTGAAATCATTTTAGTTCAACATAAACTTTCAACCTCTGCCTATTCTGGTGAATAGTATACTATCGAGGAATGTGTGTGTGAGAATTTACAATTTTCGTTAGTTCAACCTACTTTATAGAAACAATAGAGTTTAATTAGGGCAAATTATGTAATAAACAACTGGGCTTGAGGAATTTTGAGCGCTCGGGTACTATTTGTTATTTGCTGACGCTGCATCCATTAACATAAAACGTACCACATGTACACGTCTGAACTTTTTAAAATCGCTTGTGTTTGGAATATGAAACTCAAAGAAGCATTTGTGTCCTGTGAGAGTGGCTCACCAGACACCTGCCGGTCCAGTCTTCGCACTCGTCTGCCAGACCGTTACAATTACAGCGCACACAGCGGCCTAGGTATGGCCCGCTGCCATCTCGAAAGAATCCAGAGGCGCATTTCTACAAAAAAAGACAAAAAGAATGTTTTATTACAGTGAAGCTAACTTGAGACTTTGAACTCAGGCAATATATTTTTTTATTATGGCACATTTCTGTTAGAAAAATTTAAAACCTCTTGTTGGGCGACGCCTGCAAGTACGCTGATCTTGAACTTGAGGAAACATTAACCAACAAGAGCGCAGCCTTTGCGCTTTTCCCAGATAAAGAAACACACCTTAAGAGCCAGCATTTACCTCAACCTGATTCCTGGCTGAATCGTCATTGACAGAAGGAAAGCGGACCACTTGTGACCCATCGAGCCCCTGTTCGTTTAGCCTTGGATACTCGAGCCACTGGTCCGCCTGATGTCTTAATCTCCATCTGCCGTCATATGCGCCGTGCCGGAGTCGAGACACCCCTCCCCGACTGGGCCTGTTGCCGGCCCAGCATAGCGCGATCAGAGATCCCCACAGGACGGTCCTGAGCAGAACCCCTCCGGCGTGCCGGTGTCGGGCCATCGAGCTATCTGACATTCCTGATGTTTAGTCTGTGTGAAAGAACGCTCCACTTTCCCCTCCTTTGGCCTCTTAAACACACACGCTGACACACACTGACAATGAGGACACGCCCCATCTCCAACTGAGTAAGTGCACTGACTGTACAGAGGCGCACAAGCACACACATGCAGTTGCTAACGTGTGCACTCATTCCTTTTACGCGTACACACACACACACACACACACACACACACACACACACACACAACCAGGTTTGAACCAATTGAGTTTCAAAAAGGTCAATGACCCCTGTAGTAGTCCTTCATGTTCGTCACACTATCATACACGGTAAATTTCGCAGAGCACATTTCACTCGATAAAAATTGTATTTGGTCACAGTCTAACCACAGCAACATTTGAGAGTAAAATAATATGTAGTCGATTTTACACAGAAAAAAAAAATGGAGTGATACTGTATTTACTTGTTTGTTTTTTTTTTTTTTTTTGTAAATTTTGCAATGAGAGTTTGAGTAAATTTTGTGTGCATACTATTACCGATAGTTTATTCAACAAAAAAAGTCATCCAAGGGTTAAAGAATGATCCCCCAGCCTTCAAGTTGGGACACGGTCACGCTACCATGCTGCTCAGACTGTGAGTTAGCAAATTGCTGGTGGCGCACTCGCCTGAATTGCGTGCGGGCAGCGTGGAATCGGTTCCCGCTCAGTGATGATGTGAATGTGGGTGTGAATGGTTGTTCGTCTCTATAGGTGCCCTGCGATTGACTGGCGACTAATTCAAGGTGTAGTCCGCCTTCTGCCCGTAGTCAGCTGGGATAAGCTCCAGTACCCCCCGCGAACCTGTCCAGGATCAGCGGTGTTGAAAACGGATCAATGGATAATACAAAGTACAATTTGCAATTTTAATATGAGTAAAATTTATCCTAACACTCTCCTTGTAAAATGAACTTAACATTTCTGAGTGAGTAAATATCACTCCAAATTGTTTTCAGTTTAAAATTTTCTCTGAATAACTTACTCTTAATTTTACTCTGTTCAGACCAAATATTTTTAGAGTAAAATTTAATTGACCCTGTAAGAATGGCATTTACCGCGTCCTGATTAATGGCCTCTTCTACAGAACTGCAAATTTTATTTCAATGCGACAAATCAGTTGTGTGTGTACGATACTGTGTGTGTGTGTGTGTGTGTGTGTGGTGTGTGTGTGTGTGTGTGTGTGTGTGTGTGTGTGTGTGTGTGTGTGTGTTACAGTTGTGTCAGACACCCTCAGACAGTCGAGTCACACCTGAATCACAGTGCGCAAACAAAAAAAAAAAACAAAAACACGCGTACTTTGGGGAGTGGCTGCTGGACACGCGCACATACACACACGCTTGAATCGTCGAGGATTGAGTGCATACACGATCAAGTTGATGAGTAACACTGAGGTCAGGGGAGGTTTTCCCCACCTTTAGACTCAACTTCCTCTCAATTGACCAAATTAAAACGTTGCTTCATGTACAATTTCGATCCATTCACCCATTTGCTGGACTGCTTCTCTTTGTTAGGCTAGCGGGTGAGTTGGAACCGGCATGCCGCGTGACTTTGGCAGGTCCCATGCCAATTACAGGGTCCACAGAGACAAAGGAAGGGCGGAGCCTGGATTCAAACCCTGGACCTTTCCATTGTAAAGCAGTCGTGCTAACCACTATCTACTGCGCAGCCCTTAATAAAGAGTACCAGGAAACAAACACAGAGCCCAAAAGACAAGATGGAATGTATGACTAAAAATATATATAAATAATAAAAATAAGGACTCTGCGCACCAACACTCTTCTTCCCTTAACAACGAAATGCCGATACTGTCTCTATGATTTGTAGCCACGGCAGTGATCCGGGCTTTATCATGGCTAATATTATGTCTGCGTGATTGTGCATTTCATCCCGTTCTAGCCTGAGGCCATGTACTTTTGGCCCGCGCGGTTATTTTCCAGCCGCACATTCCGCCCAAGTCTCCTCAGCTGATGACTTTGGCCCCCGGGGGCAAAAGGGTGCAATGTTTAGTTCGGGCGTGTCGGGACAACCTTAGAAGAACGATGAGGAAGTCCCGCTCCTCCAAGATGACACAACGCTATTTCACTCAACACCTGAGAAGGTGATCCTCCCAGTTCTTTCTCGGTGGTGCGAAATAGAAGGCGTTTGGAAGCGAGGACAGCGATCATCCGTTAAAACGCATTGCAGTGGAACTGCGAAAGATAAAAATGATCATGCGAAAAAGTCCAAAGGGGAAAAAAAAAACCCCACAGAAGTTCAGCCATTATCTGACGATCTCTGAACATGATGCATTTTCTCGGGCACTTCTCCAACACTTACGTCAACAGATGAAGATACACAAAAGGCTGCAGTCTTGAGGGACACAAATACCAACCAGCAAATCAAGGCAAATTTGAGCATTTTCCACCTCCAAGTAAAAACGATGTAAATACATATAATGGCTTGAAATGAATCCACTGCAATTCTATTTCCTCTTCGCATCCTCACGAAATAAAGAAGACTTGCCGCTTGCTGTGTCGATAGATTTCCCTCACCTCGCAAGAGTCTCCGGCGAATTGAGAAGGGCAGGAGCAGACCTCCACAGTGTTCCCAGGACCCCCGGTGCCCATATCGGTGGCTTCCTCCAAGCCCACCTGGCCCAGACTAAGTCGCTGGCTTTGCGTAAAGTACAAAGCTCGGATCCTCAGACGCGCCAGGCCCGCAAGGACCATCATCAGCGCTTCTCGGGACACGGGTCTGTTGGTACCAGCGTGGCGCCAGTTTCCCTGCGGAAAACAGAACATGGGTGGGTGAAAAGAAAAAAAAAAAAAAAAAAGCAGGCGGACAAAAGTATCGGGACAACGTCGAACCACGAAACAGGATCCACATCTTGGTTTAAAAACTAAATATTCAACTGTTTTGTTCACCTCTACAAGTTGGACTCTGCCTTGATAGAGTCGATCGGGCAACTGGACTTGAGGGGCAAAATGAACCAGCGTCATGTCCTTACTCTAGAGTGGAAGCATGGAAATGTTTGTTTGCTATGTCATTAAAACAACAACGTTGAACGAAATGTCACATACAGTCAGTAGGACATCAGGGGTTCTGTCTATCAGAATCATTCCTTCACTGGGAATACCAAAGGATTTGGCCTGGTACGTGAGGAAACCACCATAAGATGATACCTAGGAGGACAAAAAAAAACAAAACAAAAAACAAACAATTACATAATCTCCATTAATTATGTGGATGGGAATAACTGCTCACTCGTTCATTGAAAGTCCAACATATAGTAATTTAATTGAATAATTCTTCTTTTTTTAAATGTATTTTAATTATGATTCTTTAGTCACAGTTTTATTTTCGCCTCGTTTAAAAGATAAATAAAAAAAAAAATTGTGTTATGCTGTGTTGAGAAATTAAGAAATAAACCAAGGATTAGGCTTTCCACGCTGACCAAAAAGCGAACACTAAAAACTTTAATTGAGAGCAATTCCATATCTTGTTAAAAGCTGGAATTTGTTACTGTAAATGTGAGTCACCCTCTTCTAGAATGAAATGAATGAATGAAAAAAAAATCAACAGAAAACAAATGAAATAAAATAATAAAAATTTATTTTTTTCGGTGTGCTCATGTAAACCTCTTGGAGTAAAATGAACTTTGAAAATAAATCAATGTGCGAGCTGCAGTGATCTTGGTTTAAAATGGCGAGAAGATTAATCGGGTGCAGATTCGGACTCACCCGATCTCCCTGGTATGAGGCCGGCGCCACCCAGTGTAAAGCTTGAATGGAAAGAGGAAGCTCCTGGACATCCGCCACCACCGTGTTACTGGCCACGTTCAACACGGACGCAACCTCTCGGTGATCGAAGCTTTCCAACTTCCAGCCCCGCATGTCCACAAACTAACGGCAGAAAACACGGAGACGTGAGCCAGCCCGCGTTCTCAACACGTGGAATGCGGCGTTAAGACATGGCCACCGACCTTGCCCCGGCGTTTTTGGGAGCTGTGACACTTGTCGGTGGTTCCGAAGCAGAAGCAGCCCGTGCATCCGTTGGTGTTGGACGGGTCAAAGTAGAAGGAGCCGTCCCGACATGTGTCGCACCTGATGCCGGCTACGTTTTTCTAAAGACATATGTAAGCTTATGTTATATTATTAATTATCATTTTATGTTTGAGCATCATATTATTTCATTTTAAGATGATCTAAATTGCATTCTGTTGTTTAATAATTGCTTAGACGTGTTTTTATGTTGATGGATTCTAAATGGCTGTTAAAGTAAGGGAAAGCAGGAAGTGATTTTAGTTGCGAAGGGTGTGTTCTCCAACGTGCTGCAGTGTAGACTTTTTTTCCCCCCTTTTCAATAAAACTGCATTCAAAGGATTCCATCTCTCCTTCTGCCGTTCGTAAAGTAGAGCCATCCATTAAAAACAACGAACCACTCAACTTACACATGTATGGCGGTTAACGGAGAGAGTCAAGCAAAGAATGAGAAATATCACACGCTCTATAGTAGTGGTTGCCAAATTGAAATGCCATTCATTTATTCTCTTCCCCAAAACAACCATTTTTGGGGTTATTTGTTTTTTAGTCAAGAAAAGTAGCACTTTACTGTATTCAAAATAATAATGAGACAAAACAAAAGACAATGTCAAGAAAGAGAGCGGTGTATAAATTGTGATTACTGTACATATTGTAATATTTATGTGTCAGCGCCCTATAAGTGTATCATTTCGGTGACGATATTGTTGGGTGAAGTGCTGTGACATTTTTCTCATGTAAAATATGTGCTTTAGGCTCAATAAAGGTTGAGAATCACTGTTCAACAGGAACAAACCAAATGTGGTTAAAAAAAAAACCAACAACAACAACAACAGGATCATTTCCAATGCCTGTACTGGTATCACCATGTAATCAAGACAAAACAAGGACAGATTTCAGCACCCATCAATACGTTCGTTCATATTTTATCATCAGAAGTACAAAAACAGCATATGTCATCCAAGAGTTTACTCGGAGGAATGAACGCATTAGTATTGCTCATTATTTATTTCACTTGATATTCAATGCTAACTCCGTAAGACATAGGTGTCAAAGTCAAGGCCCGAGGGCCAGATCTGGCCCGCCACATCATTTTATGTGGCCGGTGTAAGCAATTCAACCATGTCAATTTCCATGATAGTTGCTAAAGTCTGGACCAAAATTTCAAATTTTCATATATAATGTCATAATTACAATACATTATTCTTGACTTCTGATGTCAAAACTAGTAACGCATCTATTTGTTGCTCGCTGTGTATGTAATATGTGGAGGTGTGAACATTTATATGGTTTCACAAAATTCACAGTCATAACGGCCCTCCAACAAAGGAAACCGTAACTACAATGTGGCCCGCGGCAAAAATGAGTTTGACACCCCTGCCGTAAGAAACAAAGTGTTTTTGTGCATGAGACGTGGTAAAGTCATGAGACAGGCAAACAAAAGCAAAGACAAGGAAGAGGAAACATTTGGCGCAGTTGGCGTACCTTGCAAAGGCACCTCCCTGTGTCGGGGTGACACACGTCGGGTGTGACTCCGCCCTGCTCGCAGTCACAAGGGACGCAGTCGGGAAAGCGGTAATAACCTGCAGCGCATCGATCACACTGGCGCCCAACAATCCTGGGTTTGCAACTGCATTCCATTGTCGATTGTGAGCGCACACACACACACACACACACACACACACACACACACACACACACACACACACACACACACACACGTAAAAAAAAAAAACACAACTGATATTATTTTAGGGGCTAAAACAGTAAGAAGAGAAGATAACATTTATTTGTCCAACACTGGGGAAATTTGCAATTTTTATTTTAAATTAAATTTTTTAAATTAAATTCTTTAAATTAAATAATTTAATTTAAAATTCATTTACATTTATTTTAAATTTGCAATAATTTAACGTGGAATGACTGAAACATAAATTATTGCCATCCATGGCAACAACGTTAGTTAGCACAACAAAGCAAACAAGTTGTTTGCTCCGAAACAATTTGCTGAGTTGATTTTACTTGAATAATTAAGTTGGGGGACAATGCAAGTTCTGAAAACTCTTTTTCTTTGTTGTGCAATGCTGGGAAGCCAGTTTGCACATCAGCAAAACTTGAAGTATTCTGTTGAATCGCCTAATTTTATTGACATTTGTTGCCTTGAAATTTTGAACCTCGGGCAAAGAGGTTTCAACATTTCTCACCTCTGGGCTTAGACAACAATGTCATATTACCAGCTAAATGTTAGTTTTTGATAAGGAACTGGCACAGACCCACAATAACTCAAGATCTGTGTACCACCAAATATGCGTGGTCAAAGACAACCGTCAACAAAGTAGCCCACCAGGCATCCTCCACTTTTTCTTTTTTTATGACACCAGATATTAATCATGTAAGTATAAAAGAAAAAAAAACAAATCCAATAAAATTGCCAGATGGAATACAATAATAGCATGTCACCGAGCACAGCATCAGTTTGCGTTCACCTGCACTGCCCGCTGACACGGTGGCAGCCAGGACCGGCGTTGGCTCGCAGGCCATTCCTGGAGCAATTGCAGCCCTCGCAGCCCAGCAAAGGATGATAACTGAATGTCTGGTTCTGACAGACGTCGCAGGCCGGTCTGACAGTCTGAGGTGGGCACAAGCAACGGCCCGTCACCTCGTCGCAAAGGCGGCGGCCGCACTCGCACGCTGCAGAGGAAGTCAAGTACGGCACTTACACTTGACTAACTCTTTGCGTTTGATCTCAATAAAAGCCAGTGGATGTCGAGTATGTGCAGTTTGAGTTTCACTCACGTCTGCAGTAGGGGAAGCCATAGTAACCCGTGGCACACTTTGTACACCACTGACCGATGACGTGAGGCCTGCAGGGACATTGTCCTCCATTTGGGTCACACGCAGATCCAGTAGACCCAGACTGGTCACAATTGCAAGGAAGAGCTCCGTCGTTGTAAAACGCCACCAGAGAGCGGGCGGAGTCTCTGCACAATTCGGAAGATGTTCTGGGGCTGTGGAAACATGAAAGCAAGACTTTTATATTAGATCTGAAGCAGTTTATGTTAAATGTACATTAATGACAAATGGGATGGTCATTTAGATCATGCTAGAACGGCTTCAGCTCACGTGTAACCGTTATGAGGACTTGCGGTGCAGAACATGGATGGATTTATATTCAAAACACAATTTTGGAATACATTGTCTGTCCTAAGTGTTCGACTGTGTGGCCCCGCCCTCTGTTGTTTTCGCTTACCTTTCCCTTAATACAGTGTGGGCTGGGCGTCTCCCCAATCATTGCACCTGTCTCACCTACACACCTGCCAGTCTTCACCTTGTCAGCCACAATTACCCCTGCAGCATAAAAGGCCAGTCTGAACAGCCACCCCTTGCCAGTTTGTCAGCTATCTTGCTTCCTGTATGCTTTGGTTTGGTTTCTCTGACCGCCTTTGGTTCCTGCCTCCTTGATCTGTCCCTCTTCCCGACAATCAACCAGTACCAGAGTTCATTGTGTCTGCCTGTGGGTCCTGAGCTCATCTTAAACTAAGCCTAACGTCAACTTTCTTTTTTTTCCATCCATCCATCCATTTTCTGATCCGCTTATCCTCACAAGGGTCACGGGGCATGCTGGAGCCTATCCCAGTAGGCGGGGGGCACCCTGAACCGGTTGCCAGCCAATCGCAGGGGACACATAGACAAAGAACCATTCGCGCTCACACGAACACGTAGGGACAATGTGACAGTGTTCCTTAAACCTGCCATGCATGTTTTGGGAATGTGGGAGGAAACCGCAGTACCCGGAGAAAACCCACGCAGGCACGGGGAGAACATGGAAACTCCACACAAGAAGGCCAGAGCTGGAATCGAACTTTCCACCTCTGCACTGTGAGGCAGACGCGCTAACCAGTCACCCGCCGAGCCGCCCCTGTCTCTTAATATCATCATTGCACAAAATGTCCTCAACTTTTCATGGGACTATTCTGTGAAAAAAAAAAATACCTTAACATCTTGGCAACAAAACAAGCTTTAGATCAAGGCGTACATCTCCCTAAGGGGGCACCAGTTAGTTGGATAAAAATCTGCTTTTCTGACGTGCCTACAGCAGGGGTGCCCAAGCCCGGTCCAAAAAATAAAAATAAAAAACATAAATTTTTTTTAAAAAAACAAGCGCGCAATTAGCTCTAAGCGAAAAGAATTCAGGAGAGCAAAGAAAGTTTCACACCCTTCCAAAGGCCATGTCAAGTCGATTTGAAATGAACACCTACTCAATAAAGACGCCTTCTCCTCGGCACTGTTGGATAAAAAGTGCTGACTGATCCAGAGGCTTCTCGCTCAAGACGTCTGGGGTGTAACGACTCTCAGGCACCAGCAGTATATGATCCTGTACAGCGGAGTGAAAGGAAAAAAGAATAATCCATGAAAAAGAGAGAAATGCAGGAAGCAAGAAACTTCAATAATAAATTATTACAAATAATGATAACAAGCGCTTAAAAAAAAGTGGATGAATAAACCACTGACCAGAAGGAGAGTCTTGCGAGAAGGAACAATCACTGAGATGGTTGGCAGCTGCCAAGATTGCTGGCTAAAGTCGAGGACGGTGCGGCCGTCGGCGACCAACACGTCTCTGCAGCCTGACACCGATGGGCAGAACGACGCATTTATGGAACCTGCAACAAAACCACAGCCTACATTTCAGGAACTGACGAGAAGAGGCTATTGTTGGAAATAAATTTTATTTTCCCAAACAAACATTTCAGTGGCAGCTAAACGTACCCTTCCACTTGTAGCCGGCATCCACTCGGACTTCCACAGGGAAGGAAACATGCTCCGGCTGGCGATAATGCACAACAAGCACATATCTGCCAGGGAGGGGCACCTTGGGGGTGAAACTTATCTCCGTCTTAAGGGATGTCAAGAAAATGCCTTTAAACATGACAGATGTGAGTCAAAGGAACAAGGTGGCATTCTCTGATACCTGAGGGTATTTGAGTAGGACCTTGTCACCGTGAGGGGATACGTCGGACTGTCGTCTCTGCCGCCAGTCTGCATTGCCTCCTTGTTGGTGGGCAACGTTTAGCTTCCCGTCGCGGGCCGCGTGCAAAACCCAGCCCGGCGAAGGCTTGTCCAAGTGGCTCAGAACACAGTGCTGACTACAATCATAAAAAAAGAAAAAAATAAAATAAAAATCTGGCGGCGTCTCGCTAAATGCTCAGAACACAGTGCTGACTACAATCATAAAAAAAGCCAATAAAAATCAGGCGGCGTCTCGCTAAATACGGTGACGTAAATGTTTTGATTGAGATTTTTCTAATGTAAAACGGCTGCCTTGGCTCAATAAAGGGTGGGAATGCTGGGCTCTATGTCCCTCATCAAGTAGCTGCCGCACACTGTTGCAAGATTCTTGCAAAAACAATGGCCAAAAGCAGTAATCATGTGCCCAAAACGGCTTTTTTCAAGCTGTTCCAAGTACGTAACCATTTGGAAATAGACAGTTCTTTGTAGGAGCTGCCCAAAAAATATTTGGCTCTACAAGTACCACCATAATAAACAACACGAAAATACAGAATATAGAGGGGCTAAATATTTATCAAAAACCAGACAGGTTTAATTCCTGAAGTTGTAATATTACAAGAAAAAAAAAAGAATAAAAGCAATGTTTTAAAATGAAAAACTTCAAATTACAAAGTCATAATATTATGGGTTGGGGGGGGACAAATTATAAAACAAAGTTGTGATATCACAAGAAAATTAAGACACCGGAGTATACATGGAATAAAGTAGAAATAACAGCAACAGCAGAGCAACAGCAGAAAAAACTGAGTCCACCAACATTAAATCGTAATTCTCATCTCATTTTGTCAATTTAAGGCAACATCTGCAGTTAAAACACGTTTTCGGTTGCATTACCTGTCTTCAGTGAAGCGACCGTGAGCGGAGACGCAAAGCACTTTGGCGTCCACATACTCCATGGAGAACTCCTTTGCAGGAACCGCGTATACTTTGTGCTGCGCACAAATGCATTGTCGACTCAGGATATTCAGAAAGCGAAACATTCGTCACGCAAAAATGTGTCTCACCAGCAGGAAGGAGGCGGTGGACGTCTGCAGGAGAAGTTCCGTCCTGTGGGCGAGCTGCAGCACGGCCACCTGATTCCTGCTGTCCACCACCACGCTCCGACACAAAAAGCTGCACAGGCGGTAAAACAAACAAACAAACAAACAAACAAACAGACGTTTTGTTGTTTTTTTCTGTCATGGCTACAATGAGACGAGATAAAATGTTTGCGCTCAAGGACCACATTTGATTTTTAAATGAACAGGACAACCGTGACATTAATTGACTGGGTTAAAAAAAAATTGAAAATGTGGATTCCAAATATGTAAACTTGTTCCTTTTGATAATAAGACTTTATTCTATTTTTTCCTTGCCATTGGATTATTTACAATCAATTTAATTATAATTGATTTCATATTTAGTTAATAAAATTCACCCCCAAAAGTCAATATATGTTAACTGTATTATTTCAATATTTTTTCACTTTCTCATTTATAATCAAGCATAAATCAATAAATAATAAATAATATTTTAACAAATGTTATAAAAAATATTTTACATTTTTCATTTTGTTTAAGCTTGTAAAAAAAATGAGAACAGTTTACCTCTTTTAAAAATGTTATTATTTACAATAAATACATTAATAAGAAATAGTATTAAACGTAGAAGTGACTTTTACATATTATTGAACCAGTTTTAAATGAAAACGAAAACAGCAGGCTGTGTGAGGCCTTACTGGCCTCGAATGCCGTTTGCGGGACTCACCTGTAATCACAGCTGTAAATGTTGGCTCGGGCTCGCATCTGCCCCCCACGCTGGACACCAACTAGGAAGTTGACGTTCTGGATGCTGTCCACCTGGCTGGCATACTCCAGGATGAGAGCATGAGGTCCAGGGTGAGCCACACGCAGACTGAGCTGCAGCTGAGACTGGAGGACGCATAATGAGGAACACGCGACTTGTTCAAAAAAAAAAAAAAACACCAGAAGCATTAAAGGGGACATCCAGTAAAAATAGTTGTGTTTCTGGAGTGCTTGTGAAATTAAACTGCCCATTACCAAAAATGTGTCCGCTGTCCTCTTTTGTACTATTATGTAAAAATGAGGACATTTTGGATAATAACCGCCCCCACAATAAGTTTTTCTGTTCATGACTTAGAAGCTGGGCTGGTTGAAGATCCAAAGCCACTTTCAACCACTGTCTGAAACACAATTATGCAGAAGCGATATCATCCGGAAACACCCACCATGTTTTTGATACCCTGCTGTCATGTCAAAGCCAATAGGTAAGCAGAGCTGCATTGATTCTTGCAAAAAAATGTGCCTTAGCTAACAGTGTTAGCTTCTGTTGAGGATAACATACAGTACATAATCGCTGGGTAAAGTTGTCAACATGGCGGCGGAGGGGGCGAGTCGGGGGGCGAGGGGGGTATTTGTGTTTATGATGTGGTCATATGCCACATACACAAAGTGCAGTGTACGTTTTTATAAGACAGTCTTTCTACACTTCACTAACATTACCCGGTAATCTTTTTTTGGGGTGAGGGGGGAATCTAAAATAAATTCGGTCTTTTTCATTTGACATATTTAAGGATTAATGTTTCAATGGCAAAACTCAAACTTTCCACAGCAAATTTTCTACATTGAAGCTATCAATAGTTTTTTTTAACATGGTCCATGATGTACAGTTATTTTTTTGAGTGCCTTCATTGAGTACTTTTGTGTTAGGAATCAGGTGCCCTCCTGTATTTTATTATCAGCTATTAGTTTTTGTCGAATGCACCACACGTTGTGTAAGGGAGGCACGATGACTGAAAGCTGTTTCAGTCTTGTCAATTCTTTCCCAAAGCTGCAACCTGGTGGCAGTTAGCTGCAACTGCTAAGTAGAAGTAAACATGGATTATGTGTAGTTGCGGTTTATGTTATCCGAAGAAGAGTTAGATGAGTGATTCAGTGCACACAAGGCATTACTTAACGTAATGCGTTAATGCGTGAATGAAATCTGTTGTAAATTGTGTGAAAATGCATCATTGATAAAGTGGATTAAAAATAAAAATCAATGCTAAAAACGGCAGCTATAAAGGCTCTGCGGTGTCACCTGTGTGCCATGCAGGGAGACCATGTCAGGGTGATCCGGGGTGGGCCGCCGCACCGGCGCCTGCCTCCTCTTGCGGGCCCTCCGGCTCGAAAAGCTTGCCTGCGAGCCCAAAGCCGAGCTGAATCCATCCATGGGCACGTGCTTGTACAGCAGACAGCTAGAAGGCACAAAGGGAGCTTGAACAGAAAGCAAAAAATGTTGGGTGCCTCTTACGAATGGAAACAAAGAAAATACAGAATCACTTTTTATTCCTTAGTTCTGTGGGCGCATATGTGCAGGGCTCTGTGATCTCTTTGTGCAGCAGCGGCGCTTCGTAGTAATCCTGAGGCAGCAGGACCAAATAGTCCTGAGGAGCAAGATGCATTTTGTCATTGGAGCAAAATGACAGGCCAGAAAATGTTGCAACACGTTCCCGAAGGACACGTTGGCCTCTTACAACCGACAGATGCGTCTAGTTATTCAAAGAAGAGGGAATTTTTCGCAGTGAACATATGCAAGGGAAATATTTAAAATATTTTTGATAATAAAATAGTCATGCATTTATATTTTTATTTCTATTATTTACATCATCATCATTACTATTACAAGTCATAGTTGTAGTAGTAGAAGTGTTACATTGTTATTATTATAGATATTATTTCTATCATTACACTGGTCAACAAGTCATTTTAATCAGAGATGGAGTTATGTGTCACTAAACATATTTTTGAAACCAATTTTAAACATGTGTCTTGGGGATCTTGAAAAACATGCGTAATACGGACTTTCCCATGCAATGTAATTTATATCTATGACTTTCCATTAAAAAAAAAAAAATCACAACGGTTGACTAACCTAACCCTTCAATCACAAAGGTGAATCAATATATATATATATATAAAAACCTATTATTATGTTGTTATTATTATTATTATTATGAAAAACTGATTGATCGAACAAACCAGGGCAGATTTGGAATCAGCTCAAGGAATTCCTCTAGAAAAGTTGACCAGCAGCTGATCAAAACATTGAGTCAAAATTTGTTGACTAGTGTTGTTATCATTATTATTATTATTATTATTAGTCGTAATAGTAGTAGAATTTAAATTTTAATGTGCTAACAATTATTTCCTAAATATTAACTTATTTAGTTGATTAACTTATATTTTCTTTACAATTAATAAATAATAAATATGGAATATTTTATGCTTTTTTTTTTTTTTACAATTTTACTTAAAAAATAAATGAATTGACCACTAACTTGAAATAAATCAAAAACAATGTGAAATATAGAGGTCACATAAAACTGGTTCTTTGATGGAGAGTTTTACAATATATAAATGAACCAGTTATTTTAACGGCATTGATTCAAAATGCAACAAATATTACAGGACGAATAATAATTATATTGATGATGATCAGGAAAATGCTCAGTGGGCTGGAATAAAGAACGGAAGGCTCAGTGTAGGTGTAATCACAAGGTTTGGGGGTTTATGGCGCCACACATATTCCTTTGGTCAATTTTTCTTCTCTTTTGGGCAACTCACGAGAAAAACCCCGGGTGCCTCGATGCGGATGATCCAGTTGCCGGGTGTCAACGCAAATGGCTCAGCAAAGCCGTCGCCAGGCACAGTGAGGAACGACGGTTGAGGACTCGCAGGGAAAACCACTTCCTTACTCTGCTCTGCTGCAGGCGCACAAACGTGACATTTGATGAGACACTTGTACAAATATCAGTGTCGTTCCATCAGTGATTCTCAACTAGAGGGTCGGGACCTAAAATTGGGTTCGTACCAACACTGCATGCCACATGAATTGCAATTTGGTGGGTTTTTGTGCAAGATTAGAGCAATTTTGCTCTTTCATTTGACTTGATTTTAATTTTACATTTTTGTTCATCCCGAAAAAATTCCTTGGTTAAGTAATAATGTGTGTTGTACATGTCTGTCTTTACAAACATGACATTTTATTAAACTCTGCAAGATTCAATTTTATTTTTCTTTGCTCTGAAGTGGCACACTTATTTAACAAATAAAATCGAAAAAGAACACATCTCTTCAGATCAGAATTGGGCTTTTTCCAAATATGGATGAAAATCTGATACGCATCGGGTATCTGCCAATACGCATGTGTCGTAACCCCGTCAATGCTGCTATATATCTGAACCACGGCTTAAGCACTGACATTTAAATCTGGACCACATTAAGGTATCAGGATTGGCCTTATTTCAAGGTATTGAGTTCAAGAAAGATGCCGATACCAGTCACCGATACCTATAGCAAAAATAAATAAATAAAAATAATTTTAAAAAAAACATCGAATAAGTCTTTCTTGCCAAGAGTTGGTGCTACACAGCGCCTGCTTGACAGCAGTGATTTGAATCTTCAAGTTTTTTTGTCCACAATTACATGTCAATTTATTAATTGCAATTTTATGTATTGTATTAGTAGGATTGGGACTTAGTATCGGTATCGGTGATTCAAGAGTAAATACTCATACAGGTATTGGTCTGCAAAAAAAAAAAAAAAAAGTGAAATTGAATATCCTTAGTCTAAACAGAAGTGTGCGTCCATCATTAAAAATAAAAAAAAAAACGCAGATGGCGGCGAGTGGAGCAATGTTGAGGTTGCACAAAATAACAATCTGGATCGAGATACAATTTTAAGTAGACCTTACATGTACAGTACTTCAAAAATTTTATTTAGACGCAGCCCTTTGACGAAATAACATTTTGTGAATTCAACACAATATTTTTTTCATGCATATGCTATGTGACTTTTAATACTTGTATTATTTATGTACTATTGTTTACTTCTGTGTTGTTGCTGTTGACTCTTATCTACATGTAATTTGGTCCTCTTTGCATGTTGGTTGTTTCATGTTTTGCGTCAATGTAAACACTGCCACACTAGATACACGTTCCTCTAAGTATGGAAAATAGACATAAAAAAAAGGACTTTGGCCTTAAATCGTAATTAGGCACTTAAAACCGCAATGTAAATAAAATGTGGGTCCCAAGTGAAACCAACTGAGAACCTCTGATTTGGTCAGTGCGTGGATGACTTCAGATACTTGAATGGAACAAGCTTCACTCTCCAGAGGCTGACTTACCTGCATGGCCTCTGTTATTAGCCGCCTTGACGCTACCACTCACGCTGGCGAGGCTCGGGTTAGTGAACCGCAGCACCACGCGGAATAAGTTGCGCCTGGCATCTTTCCACTCAACATGCACTATAACTCTGACTTCACTCTGCAGGGGGAGGAGGACAGGGACAAGCGACTGACCGGATGAAACATTGGATGCACATCGGAGTGGGTTTAGGAGGCAAAGCGGTTGCGCAATCACAAGAGGCTTCATCAACACACTGCAAGCCGGGAGAGGAAAAAAAAAAAGGCACCCAAGTGCCGCCCTCTACTTACAGTCACAGCACGGCGGCGAGCCGGCTTCGTCCGCCACTGTGAGCCTTGCTCTTAATCGTGCGGCCCTTCCCTTATTTCGCGGGGTGGCGTAGCGCATTACAATATGGAAAGTGGCAGGAAAGCCAAGGGGAAGGGTAAGGATCACCTCTGGCTGCAAAGAAACAGCTCAAGAAATTGCTGCAGAAGAGGCGATCAGAAGCTTAAAAAAAAACTTGGTTGGTGGTTTATTACACTACAGAACTCACAAAGTGATATTTTGCTTTTGGGTGGAAATTCCGGATGAGCCTAAAATGCGCTCCGTATCCCCTTACAGGTAAACTTCATTCGACTTTCTTCAAACATTTTCATGTCCAACTGTTCAAAGTTACAGGTACTTCTTGCACAAGGTGAACGGTAACCATATGTTTGGTTCAAGGGCGTCCACTTCTCTGCCTTTCAGTGACTCTTCCAGTCGCTCAGATCTGTTCATAACACTGTGTGACACTCTAAGCTCAGTGGCACTTAATTTCCTCTACGCGAGCTGGTGCTCATCAATTGTTAAGTGTCGTCTTGGTTTCAAAATGTCACCGGCATGCTGAAGAGGTCCGTTTAAAATACAGACTCGAAATGAACCAGGAAATCAATTTCGCAGTCCAGCTCCTTGTTAAAGAAGAGGAAATTGTGCAAATAGTACCATTGAAAAGTTGAAAGAAGGTCATATTAATTTAAACTGTAAAATTTTGAGTGATTAGGTACATCCTGAAATTTCACCCAAAGTACTGAGAATTTGTTTGTGAAGGTTTAGGAAGAAGTAGCTGACAGAAAGCATTTCATCTGAAAAGTAGGAGTGGAAGAGGAGGCAAGGCAATTTTTTACGGAGAAGGCATTCAATTATACTCAAGTACATTGAATGATAACACAACATGACATATTTTCACAAACTTTCAGATGTTATATATTGCATCAATTAAAGCACAGGTGTCAAAGTCAAGGCCCGGGGGCCAGATCTGGCCCGCCACATCATTTAATGTGGCCCGCGAAAGCAAATCAAGCATGTCAAGTTCCATGATGCTTGCTAACGTCTGCACCAAAATTTCAAATTGTCATACGTAATCCACAATAGCAGTCATTATTCTTGACTTCTGATTTTAAAATGAGTTATCCATCAATTTGTTGTCTGCTGTGTATGTAATATGTGGAGGCGATTAAACATTTACAGTACATGGTTCCCCAAAATTCATAACGGCCCTCCAGGGGAAACCGGAACTACAATGTGGCCCGCGACAAAAATGAGTTAGACAACCCTGAATTAAAGTATTGCTTTGTGGCGTCTTTCTGTCAAGGCCCTAAGTTGAAGTGAGTTGATTTAGACAAAAATAGTGCTTTGCCACCATCTTGTTGCAACTATTGACAATTATAAAGCCTCTTCGAGGGAGTGTCAATGACTTATGGGTTTTCACTATTTGTGGCAGGGCTTGTCTTTGAAAACGCTCTCCTGTGTTTGTTCACGATCGATATTGTTCAATTGTAACAATAGAATCATTTACCGGATTAATATTTTAGACTATCGTTTGTCAGAAGGTGTTTCAAATGCATGCTCACCTGCGCGGGGGACAGCTCAGCGTAACCTCTCCAGCTGAACTCGGGGAACTCTCGGGGGTCGTAACCGAAACGCACAGGCCTGCCGTTTGGTGTGGTGCCATCCTCCACCTCAAACTTGAACTGATGCAAGGTGGGGAAATAATAGCTCGGGGCTGGCCTGAGAAGGAACACCATTGCCTGAAGTAAACCTCGTGTGCAATTTTCACCATTGCAATGTTTGGAAAAGTCCTACCGTGTGCATTTCAGGCCGCCTATGTTACTACGACAACGGCATTGGCCGGAGGTCGCGTCACAAGCAGCGCTGATGGCGCCGCCAACGTCGCATTGACAACCTGCGAGGGATTCCACATTTTTAGAAGCATTTTTTTTTTTTCCATGAAGAAAATTGAGTATGAAGCCGCGGACTCACCTTGGCAGCCCAAATAATTATTTTTCTGCAACAGGAAGTAGCCGCGGTCGCAGACATCGCACGTACGCCCGCCTACGCGAGGCTTGCAGTGGCACTGCCCATTTCTCTGCACGAATGGCAAACAAAAGGCAAGGCCATTTTCATGGTACGGTATGTTTTCGACGGAAGGCAATTGCGCAAGATAAAATTCAAAAGCGAAAGACAAGTCCGACACTGAAATTCAAACACACATAAAATTGACATTGGAATGAATGAATGTTGTGACTCAAATGTCAACCACCTGCTGACACTCTCCAACACCGCTCAGCGTCCCTTTGACATCACACCTGCACACTGGAATGAAACAGAAAAAAAAAAGATGGAAGAAAGAGAGGAAGGTTATGAGCTGAATAGACTCTGATTGCAGGACATAGTCACTTTCATGGGTGAGGAGCAAGAGCACAAAAGCTCCCTGGGGGCTTGAAAGTCAACCGAGTGAAATCAAAACATCCCCATAAATGTCCAGCCGCAAGCAATCGGAGGCATTCTTCAGATATTAAAAACTTTGTTTTTTTCCCCACCATCTCGTCGTTGAGGTCACATTCTTGCTACAGAGCGGATCCGTAATCGGGGAAAGGTATCCGAGCACAGCATCAGGCCCAGACCTTTTGTTTTTCAGATGAAATAGACACATTTGACCACGACAACACCCTGCCCCCGGGTTACAATGTATTTCCAAAAGTCTCATTTGCCTTATTTGGTGATTGAAATCCAAAAGATGTATTAATTTATTTATTTATTTATTTATTTATCCATCAATCTATTTATTTATTTTATTTCATTGGAGGCAGTGCACATTAATCAACACAAGAATAAACAGTGTAAATGCGCCGGACTTAGCACAAAAGCTAAGCATAAATTTGAGCTCTTCTAATTAATTGCAAAGCACCTTTTCGTGCAGGTAAGATTTTCCTGTCTCTTGCTGTGCTGTAACTCTTAAGCCAGTCAATGGTGTTTCTTCTCTTCAAATCGCATGAGAAACGGCAGGGAATTGGAAGTAGTACTGACTTTTTAGGTGTCTCATATCGCATTTCATAACACTGCACTGACTACGCCGATTCCCCAAGACCAATTTAAGCAGAAGTTTCAAAGGCTGAATGCAATCATTCGGAACGTGTAAAAATGAGTGAACCTCCCTTCGCCATTGTTGACAGCGGATCACAAAAAGTATAAGTTAGGTTAGTTTATAAATAACAAAATACAGTAAACATAAACATGAAATATACATGGAGTACAGTATGTGACTTGCTGTTGTTTTGCTGACTTTCGCTGCCTCTCGCGGACCTTTACGGCATTTTCGCAATAATAAAAATTATGAATACTTTTGAAAAATCCGCGATGCACTGAAACTGCGATAAGTGAACTGTGAAGTAGCGAGGAATCACTGTATTTGTTTATAAAGTGACAACACGTTTCGAGTCCGATGTTACGCAAGGTGTTTGTACCGTATTTTCACCACCATAAGACGCACATAAAAGTCTTAGATTTTCTCTGGTCTCTATTTTATCTCTTCGCCTTTTAATACTGCGCGTTGTATGCCTGTGAAAATACGGTAATGCGAATAGGCGACTGTTCCAGAGCTTCAAACGCATGGTACGTGCCGCCACACACGCAGGGAACCATCAAATAATGTATAAGATTTACTATCATTCTTGATCCTCGGGATACTTTGACAAAAGCGTGTCACGGGAATGTTTTAAAGAGATCTGAAAATGGTTTTAAATGGTGACCAAGTTGCATCGTGTCTGCTTTGAAGTTACCTTCACAGCCATATGTGTTGTCAGCTGACAGGTTCCAGTGAAGAGGCTTACACCTGTCACATGAAGCTCCCTCCGTGTTGGCTCGGCAGCGGCAGGAACCCTGAAACAAAAGCGGAGGCAACTGTTGACCACAGAGTACGTTTTTTTTTCTTTTCTTTCGCTGTCATGATTGCCTGCACTACTATTTACTCCCTGAGAGGAATTATTTTCTTTCTTACACACAAGAACACACACAAAAGGTGAACTCAAACTTGGCAAAGCGTTGCTTCTCGTTCTTGTTTTGCTTCCTTTTCTAAAGGGCAGGAAGCCTCTTTTCCTTCAATTTAATTACGCTAACATTACAAGGAGGAAAAAGGGCATTTCCTCGTTCAATCAACTGGGTGGATGCACTTTTAGCAACACAGCTGCGTTCAAAAAAAAATACCCCAGTTTTCAAAGAGCTGGATTGAAAATAGAAAGTCTTGATACTTGTCATGTCATGTCTTTGTTTATCGTAGTTGCTTGTTATTGCAGTACTAGTGTAGCCTCTACTAGTGGAGACAAATTCCTTGTGTGTTCCACATACTTGGCCACGAATGATGATTCTGATTCTGAAAATAGCTAGACAGCTAATTCAACCATGTCAATACTGAGCATCAATGACTCATTCTAATTCTACGCCCTAAACAAGTGACAGGGCATTCACTGATATCATTTTTGGAATTGTTCCTCAACAGGGTTCATGAAGTGGTTGAGGGCTCTCTGACATTAAATTAAAAAAAAATAAAAATAAATCTGGTCACTCAACATTCTCCTTTTTATTAACTCATTCAATCCCAGCCATTTTCACTGGAGCAACCCCCTCAATCCCAGCGGATTTTGACTGATCTTGCAAGGCCCATAGAATATTTGGTTCTAATGCTATATAAACATGGAGCCTACCAAAAAAAAAAAAAAATTGGACTCTCTTCTTTCAGCAGAAAAAAAAATAGTTTCTATCTTTTTCCATTCTTCAGCAATCGGCATTACAAAATGGCTAAGGTTCATGAAAATGGCGATTCCTGGGCAAAAAACGGAGAAGCATGCATTTCAAGCACGTGAGGCACCACTGCCACCTACTGGTCGCTTTTTTACATGATTTACAATGCAAACGGCTTATTCTCATTCACAGATTGCATCAGATCCTCCTCCTCTCTATGACGCAAAACAAAAGAGACGTACAAGTACGTCCTTGGTTGGCGGGGCCTAATTTTAAAAAGACGTACAAGTACGTCTTGTGGAATGAAAGAGTTAACAATCTTCGTACCGTTTGAGGTTCCCTGCTCTCTGTCCCATGTGGATTGCACTGACTGATGGAGGCTGGAATACAAAGTGAGAAATAAATAAAGACCGCCCTCCCCCCCAAAAAAAACACATTACAGTTTTTGGGTGTGTGTTACCTGAGCACGAGGGGAACCCGAGTCCAGAAGCGCATTGGTCACACTGCTGGCCCACCACCCCAGGCAGACACAGACACTGACCTGTCAGCGGGTTGCACGGGGTGCCGTACGAGCCTTCCCTGGAACACTGGCAGGCTGGATAAATCAAGCAGGCAAAAGGTCAGATATAGTCACATATACAGTCCAAACGGTTGTCTTTTCTGGGGAAGCTGCATTCCTTAAAAGGAAGATGGGAGATGGCGTGTCACTCAAAGTGTAGTACTGTATATGAAATTCAACAGACGACGAGGGCTGCAGGGGACAGCGTGGGAGACAAATAGGGATGGCCGCTTCACAGAGGAGGCCATAAAAAGATGCATGTGAACAGTCAATCCATCAAGCAGCAACATTTTGCACTGGAAGCTGCAATTCTAAAATAAAGCAGCAAGCTACAATGAACGGGATCTTTGGACATCTTTTTTTTAATTGATATTTTCAGAAAAAGGTTTTCGGAGATCCCTAAAATATAAACATTCTTACCAACATTTTTTGGGACATGTTGTGCATACCAACCCAAATGGCAATTAATTTGTGAGAAGATAAGTGGAAGATGATGTATCCCGCATTCACATGTAAAAGTAAAGAAGTAAAGAAACGGTTCTTATTAAGCCTTTCATGCACCCTGTAACCTGATAACATGATAAGATGTCCGCTGGACCGTTGTCCCTGAAAGGGTTAAAGTACTCAATGATAATAAGATTGAACAAGGTGTCGGCGCGAGTCTTGTTGGATCTCAGTGCAGCGTTTGATATAGATGATCATAATACACTGTTGAACAGGTTGGAAACTTGGGTGGGGTTCAATTCAATCGTCATCAAATGGTTCAGGTCCCACTTGGAGGAAAGAAGTCGTTTTGCGATCGTTGGAAGTTTTTCGTAATTTTAGGAAGCTACTTTGGTCTTCTCTGTTTTGCTTCTTAACGTCCTCAGCTGTTGAGTTTGTAAATGTTTTTTGTTGTTTTGTCTTTGCTTGTCCAAAGCACATTGAGTTGCCTTGGGTATGGAATGCGCAATATAAATAAAGCTGGCTTGCCTTGCCTTAAGCTTGAACTTTAATTTGCCTCTTGCCGTCTCTGCTCAGGATAAAGCTGATAAAAAGTTGAATGTGAATTTCCTCATTGAAAAAAGGCTCATAGTGTTCGAACCAAAAAAATGAAAGAAAGTATGCATTTGTTTCTGACACAACTCACCGGCACATTCCGGGTACCCGTAGTAGCCGGGTGCACATTGCTCACAGCCCTGGCCTCCATAGTTGGGGAGGCAAATACACTGACCGCTCGGACTGCAGACACTCTCGGCCACACCTGCCCCATCGCAAAGGCACGCTGGAGATTGGGGAAGAAATAAAGTGGACACTCAAGTTAGTTCATTCAGCCCGTTTGTAACCTGAAATGTTCATAAATCAAGGTAACGTTTCCCATTGAAATGAATGAAAAAGCAATCAATCCTTTCCAGTCACAAATCTAAGCTAAACGTACCTATTCTTTTTGTTGGTTTGTGGTTAGAAATAAATATGAAGCAGTATAGAAATGAGCGCTAACACACTATTACACAGGGGAAAATCATTTGAAAAACATGACAAAAACAAGGTATTTAATGCTCATTAACTTTAACTTTGGAGGGAAAAGAGTTGATTTTAGTAAATCGATCCAGGGTAACTTGTCTTTTTCTGACCCAATGAATTGTCATTGAAAAGACTAATTCACTTCACTGACACTTGCAGTGACTACTAGACATAGAAAGCCAACAATAGAAAGCCCAACCAAAAGATATTTTAAAGCATTTATAAATTCATCATCAAAAACACTGATAAGATAGTGCTACATGACTCATGTGTCACACCGTGGCAGTTGGGGAAGGAGTGGTAGCCTGGTCGGCAACGGTCACATTGCTGGCCCACCACATTGGGACGACACAGGCAACGTCCAGAAGCGTCACACACCTCGCGCTCTGTCCCTCTGTAGTCACAGTCACACCCTGCACACACACACACACACACACACACACACACACACACACACACACACACACACACACACACACACACACACACACACACACACACACACACAAATATATATACACACGCGGTAAAATAACTGCGGTGACTCACAAGAGACAATTGACCTTTAACTCAGGTTCTTCTGGGGAATTACGTCATCCGTTGCTCATTGTTCACTTTGCATTGGAGCAAGGCTACGACACTTTGGGATTCGTCATTATAATCCGTTTTTATTTTGTTTGGATTTTTAAATTCTGTTTGTTTTTATTTATTTGTATTTTTTCAAAAATGCTTTGTCGTACTTTAGTTTTTATTAGTTTCATTTTTATTACTGTATTTTAAAGCGATATTAAATATTTGTCAAGTGCAAGACAGCAATAAAAAAAAAAAAAAAGGTAAAAGACCACTAAGTGTAAGACTGTTTGACCTTCCTTCTTCTGTTCAGATGTGCCGCAATGGTGGAATAAATATATTTAAAATGAACCCCGAAAGCTAATGTCATGTATCAATTGTCGAAGGACATTTTCGCGATAATTATAGCTTTAGTTCGTTATTAAGGTACAGTGATGTTGTATTCTCTATTCTGACAATAAATGATGAAGACAAGGTTCAGAGAGGAAAAAAAAATGAGTACAAACAGTAACATGAAATAAGTGATATCATAGAGTGTATATGAGGTAGTTTATATTCATACTCACGCTGACAACTGATTGAGCCAAAATAGCCCACAGGACAGCGAGTAGGCACTAAACAGGAAGGAAGAAAAAAATATATTGATTTATATATTCTTCACTTCGACTCTTTTTACCTATTTTTTTTCCATGTACCATTAAGATGCCTTTGACAAAAGGACAACAAATTGAAATCATTTTGATTGGCGTGTCTGGAAGTAGTCGCAAGACTGCAGCAGGATTCGACAGAAAACACGGAACCAACATCACACAAAATTTGGCAAAACTTTGTGTCAAAAACTGACACTGTTGAAGGGCAAAGAGGAAGCCGTTGGCGTGTGGAAGAAAGGACATGAGATATTCACCGACGAAAGGAACGCATCTCCAACTCATTTGCATGAGGATCACTAAATGTGCTATATTACGAGTTCACCAATACTGGGCTAAACAGATTGCAATATTGCATGCATTCAAAATAATGGTAGCCATAGAGCTTGGTAAATAAATGCTGTTTTTAAAACGTTCTTATTAAAAACAAAATGTTCTTAAATTGCGTTCAGAAGCTGCTGTAAAAAAAAACAAAAAACTACCGTATCTTACAGAAAGCAAAACACTCAAAGGGTAAAGTCAAACCTGGAAGGAAAAAAAAAATCTTCAAGCTTATCTTTCCGCCCTGGCAGATTTTAAGAAGGTGATAAGATGAGGAAACGCTACTCGTGTGAATAATATGGCTCGCTCTGTTTAAAAGCTGCTCAGGCATGCAGACTGTGACACGTGTGGCCGAAACGTTGCCGTGTGCACATTTCATGCATGTCTTTAACATTTGCCTTTGTCATCTCAAGGCGAAAACTGACAGGCAGAAAACAAAAGCTTAACACGGAACAGGAACAGGTTTAGGTTACCGCAGGATGACACGACACAAGACATAGCATACGTTCACTTAATTCCAGTGTGGATTTGCATAAAAATGAACTTACAAATGCACTGAGGATAGTAATTGTATCCCTCTGCACAGCGCTCGCAGTTTTCTCCTGCAAACTGCACTTTGCAGATGCACCTCCCGGAACCCATTTCACAACCTGCCGTGGTCCGCTCGTCGCACTTGCAGGCTGCCGACGCACACGGACACAAATGCACACATCCAAAGACCAAATGAACCAACACAAATAATACAAAAATGGAATATCGGCTTTTGATTCCTCGATGAAATTCTGTTTTGTTGTCCAAAAATAAAAATTCACATTGTTGGTTTTTTGGGGGGGGGGAGGATTGCATTGTGGGCCTGGTCAAATGTCAGCAATTTCCCACCCTTGACTTAAATCCTCCACTTTGTGGAGAGGCTATTCCAATGAGGAGGACCAGACATGAACTGTGAGAGAAATGTAAACAACAGAAGGGCCCACTTGAGAGCAATGCCGTACATTTCTATATATAACTATTTTATGTCACGGGCACTCATATTTCCTTTTTCATGCGTTAAGCGAGCAAGACGGAGAGTCAAGCAAGACAGAATGAGCCACTAATAGTCCAGCTTTAAATCCCCCTACACACGCGCACCTGCTGTGTATCATCAGTAGAGCCTTGCTCCCATTGTTCTTTTATCCAATCAGCTCCCCGCTCGCTCCTCGCACATTGTGCATGCTGGAGCCTATCCCAGTAGGCGGGGGACACCCAGAACTGGTTGCCACCCAACCACAGGGCACACACAGAGGAACAACCATCTGCGCTCACACTCACACTTAGGGACAATTTCGAGTGTTCAGTCAACCTGCCATGCATGTTTTTGGAATGTGGGAGGAAACTGAAGTACCCGGAGAAAACCCACGCAGGCACGGGGACAACATGCAAACTCCACACAGGAAGACCGGAGCCGGGATCGAGCCCACGATCTCTGCACTGTGAGGTCACCTGGACAATCTTAAAACATTACTCTTAAAATATAAAACATATGAACATATTTAGTAATATTTATGCATTAAGGATTAGGTTCAGCCACATGTGGATAATTTTTCTGAAATGTCATAGCTATAAATTACAACACATGATAAAATCTATATTGTGCAAGCTTTTAATGGTTGCACTGAACAAAACAATGAAAATATCTCAAATACCTGATGTGCTGGGGAAAAAGTAAATAAATCAGCATCACAAATCCCATTAGGGACGTAAAAATCCATCTATGGTTCAAATTTACTGTTGACCAATGTACTATATTTTGGGGTAAAATCCCCTCTTGAAATTAGTTTGAGTTACTCCTGTACTCCTGATGTTGGGATGAAAAAAAAAAAATACACGACAGCGAGAAAAACTCACGTATGCACCCAGTGGGAGACTCGGGGGCGACTCCATGAGGTCTGAAGTAGCCTTCAATGCATCGCTCACAGTTCACTCCAGCAGTGTTGTGCTAAAATAAAAAAATATTCACTTGGTGGTAGGTGAAGCCCACCCCGAAGAGGTGGTTCATTGGTTGCAAGAAGAATGATCAACAAACACGGTGATTCACATTAATGTATGTTGGGCTACTCTAAAAACTGAGCATTGTTGTCTCAGCTCCTGATTTGATCTCATTGCGTTTTACAAGTGTAGCTCAATGGGTGCACTAATGCAGTGTGTGTTTTTCTTAATATAGCAGCCAGTGGGGAATTCTGTCGATGAGTGTCGGAAGTAGGATCGCTTGAGGTTAGAGTGTCAATATATCCTTCCCCGACCACACACACACACACACACACACACACACACACACACACACACACACACACACACACACACACACACACACACACACACACACACACACGGGAATCGGTTCAGACTTGATGAGGGCTTCATACCTGGCAGTTGATGCACACGCCTCCTCCGCTGTACCTGCCGGAGATGTCTAAACTTGCTCCTCTGGCTTCCACCTCTGGGTCGTAATAACAGTCGGCGGCATGAGCAAAGCACTGGCAGGCTGAGGAGGAAAGCCCCAACACACATACACACATTAAATGATCAAATGAATCAATGTGCAACAGCAAAACTCATGTAACTGTGCTTAAGCGCCATCAGGAGTGAAGAAGTATGACAACAAACAATAAAATCCAAACTCAGCTGCATATCTTTTTCCTGTTGCATCGGTGATTATGCATACAGAGCAGAACCATCAATTTTCGAGGTGAGTCGCCTCTTTTGTCATTAAAATGTTTAACCCGTGCCCAAACCCACCCACATAAAAAAATATAAAATAACAAATAAATGAATGAGCACCACTGCCACCTACTGTAGTGGGTGTGCAATTATATTTGATTTACAATATTTACATACATACAATCCAAGATTTTGAGTATTCTAGTATAAAAAAAGGGTTAGGGTTAGGGTTAGACACACCTCCCCTGGCATTGCAAAGGCAATGAGGTTACCAGATTAGCTAACAGTTGTCATAATGTCTTCTGTATTGTTGTACTACAGTAATCCACTGCTATTTGTAGAGGGAAAATACGAATAATTGAAGTGCCCAGGAAAAATGTTTATCACTGCCTATATCATTCATACAAACCATAAAAATATCACAAATTATGATCTCACAAAACGAAATAATTTCAAACGAATTTTAAAACATCCACCCATCCATTTTCCAATCCAAGGGTTGCGAGGGGTGCTGGAGCCTATCCCAGTTGTTTTCGGGCAGTAGGCGGGGGACACCCTGAACCAGTTGCCAGCCAATCGCAGGGCACACAGAGATGAACAACGATCCGTGCTCACAGTCACACCTAAGGACAATTTTGAGCGTTCAATCAGCCTGTCATTCATGTTTTTGGAATGTGGGAGGAAACCGGAGTACCCCGAGAAAACCCACGCAGGCACGGGGAGAACGTGCAAACTCCACAAAGGAAGGCCGGAGCTGGAATCGAACCCGGTACCTCTGCACTGTGAGCTAACCACTGGCCCACCGGGCCGCTCTTAAAACATTCATTCATTCATTTTCCGAACCGCTTGATCCTCACTAGGGTCGCGGAGGGCGCTAGAGCCCATCCCAGCCGTCTTCGGGCAGTAGGCGGGGGACACCCTGAATCGGTTGCCAGCCAATCGCAAGGCACACAGAGACGAACAACCATCCACGCTCACATGCACACCTAGGGACAATTAGAGTGTTCAATCAGCCTACCATGCATGTTTTTGGAATGTGGGAGGAAACCGGAGTACCCGGAGAAAACCCATGCAGGCCCGGGGAGAACATGCAAACTCCACACAGGGAGGCCGGAGCTGGAATCGAACCCAGTACCTCTGCACTGTGAAGTCGACGTGCTCACCACTGGACTACCGGGCCGCCTGCTCTTAAAACATTACTCTTAAAAATTATTGTTTCACAAATAATCAGAGTTTGACTCACCATAACAACCCAGGTTAAATTTGGTTCTGCGCCGACATACAAACATCAAAGTTTCTCAGTCAAGATGTATCACTTGTACATACAGTACTTTCCTATTTAAACATGGTTTTGCTGTCATCTTCGGGTATTACAGAAAGAATACAAATGTGAATAGTAAGTATTTCAGTGAAGAGCTGAGGATAGGTTCCACAAAAAGGTGAATTTGGAAATAATGAATTGCAAATCGGTGGGGATTTGTTGGACTAATATTCTTTCTTCTTTGTAATTTCCAGCAGTCTCGATGACATGTGTCACCACACGGCCTCTCACAGGTCAGTCGTGTTACTACAACGGCCATCTGGTGAGCGGAAAAAGGCTCACGATTGATGTGGATGTTTGTGTGTGGTATGCTGTGTTGGTCATGTTAAGTACACCCTACACTATAAGCTCAGTAAACACATTTTTCCCCCTCTATATGTATGGGGGCTCTCACATTTCAAAAACAGGTTATGTGTTAAAAAGCAATCGTCGTACAGCTCGCGTTAGTAGTTTGAACTCTTCCACATGTAAGCCATATGAGGAATGCCCTCCCCGCTCTCAAAGAGGCACTGAGTGATACCATATCAGGGCATCGACAACAGCAGCAAGTGGACACTTCAGCTCTCAGCACAACAGAGTCAGACGGCACGTCACGCACTTACGCTGACACTCGTTGGGGCTGTCGACAGTGGCGGCGCGCCAAGGCTTCTGGCTGAAACCCGGACAGCAGCGGTCACATGACTCACCGCAGGTGTTGTGTCGGCACTCACACTGTAGCCTGATGACAGGACATAGAACCCAGGAGTATAATATAATAAGTATCAACACCAATCAGCATGTCTTTTTTTTAATCAAGTGGTGTCATATTTATTTTTTTTTTTTTGTAATTGCACACGAACTACTTGACTTTCATGACGAGTGTTGACTGAAAAACAATCTGACGTTGTGCAAAGTGTATCCCGCTTCGGTTGTTCAGCACGCAGGACATTGCCATTGACATTACACCATTCGTCTACAATGTCAGTTATCATTGCAGCTAACAATCGCGTCTTTTACCGTTGTGAGGTCCAGAAACAAACACATGAGGTAAAAGCAGGCAGGAAGAAAGTCTTCACTGTACAAAATGTCTGTTAATGAATAAACGGCGATGCTTGAAGGAAGTTAACATTTGACAAGCTCAGGAGAAGGGCTGCTGGAGGCGCAGTGAGGCGTGAATATTTTTTTTTTCAGCAGGATGACCTACTTGTTTGGGTTTTCCCTGTTGCGAGAGGACCCGCACACCTGAGCGTGGCCGTGACACACGCAGCGGCCACCGATGCTGATGTCTTTGATACTGTAGTAATACTGGACAGAAAAGTCGCAATTAAAGCATTTGGCAACAGGGGTTAATCACACACATTGAGCGTCAAGCAGAATGAAGCTGACTCACCTGCAACTGTGAAACATGATCAAATCATCAACTTCTGTCAGCACATACTCATTTTAACTCAATGTGACAAAATACAGGAAGGTTAGGGAGATAAATCCCGTTAGATACATTTGCAAAGCTGCTTTTCGTAAAATACAAAGTAGCTTGAAAACTGGCCACAATAATAAGGAAACCTTCACAAGATATGGGTAAAAAAAAAAAAAATGGAACTGCACTGTCACATACCGAGACAAGTGTCTCTTATTTTTTTTACTGTATCTCTTCATTCACTGCAACTTAAAATGTCAATGGTGCTCATCCTCATTAGGGTGACAGGTGAGCTGGAGCTAATCTCAGATGAATTTGGACACTAGACGGTTTACACCCCGGACTCCATTGCCAGCACATTGCAGGGGCACATGGAGAGACAAACGAGCATTCACACTCATATTCTCACCTTTGGACAATGTGACAAATTTTGCATTATCATCTCTTAATTAATAATAATCATTTATACGGACGTCAATTTTTTGTTTTTGTTTTTGTGAATTCAGTTCACTTTCAACAGTATTCAGAAGCTGTTCGTAGTTTTTGTCAGCACAGTAAAGAGTCGTATCATCAACAAATTAAACGTATTTACCAAAATATTTTAGAAACACTGCAAATATCATTAACATATGATATGAACAAATTAGGAGCTATGACAGACCCTTGAGGCACCCCATAAATCACCTTTATAGCTTTAATAGATTTTTTGTTTTGAAAGTGCACATACTGATATCAGTCATCCAAGTTTGCATCCATTTATGTACCAACCCACTGATACAATGCTTTTTTTCAGATCTATAAATACAGCAACCACACATTCTTTATCTATGCTAGTACTTTGTACCTGTAGATGTCCCTTCCACAAATTCCATTTTTGTTCGAAATCCATCGTGATTGCCACGTAAGATATGTTTCTCCATGAATTTATCAAGTCCAAGAGTGAGTAATTTTATAAGCTTTTTGAGGATTGTGGGGCTACGGTTATAAGTCTGTAATGTGTAAATTTATATCTTTGTTCACTTTTATAGATAGGAACACCTTTAGCTATTTCATGTTAGGTTAGGTGAAACTTAAAACCTGTCGAAACATTCTCTGAGCTCAGGAAATTATTTCTCTTGTTCAAAACATGAACGTGAATGTGGTCACTAATTAGCAACCTGCGATTGACTAATGACCGGTCCAGGGTTAAAGTAACCTGCAATAGGCTCCACCCACCCGCCATCATAATATGAGCACGCAGCAGTGCGCCGCAGTGAGTGCTGGTCTCACCCTGCGTGTGACGGTGGGGTCTCTCTGGGCCTTCGAGATGAGGTGGCCCAGCAACGTGTTGGTGCGTAGGAAGTGCAGGCGCACGTTGGTGGCCCTGGTGAAGTCCTGCAGAACTGGTGAGCGGGTGAAGTCTCTGGAGCCGGGCCGACCGTTGATCAAGGACACCACAATCTGGACATCACAAAGCCCGTATTTATTTTCCAGCACTTTTGAGTTAAACAAACAAACAAAAACTAATCTTGATTAAGATTGGTGGCGTGATGCTGTATTTACCTCCCCGTTCTCCAGAGGGACGATTCTAGAATAATCTGTGGTACAGAGCTGATCGTCGTCGTTAACGAGGCGAGCATTTGGATTCTTCCCAAACCTTTCGATGCATTCACGCTTTGAATCTGCATGCAAACAATTAATGCTAGTTTGTTTTATGAATTTTCATTGTTGTGGTTGCAAATTAGTTTAACTGTTTAAAAACTATATATATATATATTGTGTGCGGGGTCTCTTCAAGTTACAAAATTGCTCAAAATGTTAAGAACTGGTATATGCGTAACAGGCTATGTTGTAATTCAATGCTCATTAGATGATTTTACTACTTTGACATGAAAAAAATTCAGCTGCATTTTATGATTTGAGAACTTACGTGCAAAATACTGCCAGGGGGTAAAAGTCTTCCCGTTATCCACGTTTTTCTTCAGTATATATCCTGAACGATTCTCCTGTGGTGTCCAGGGTGTCGAGACTGACTGCTCCTCCCGATCTGTTCCGAAATTTTTATTTGTACTTGCTGTGTGCGGAGTCTCGGGATGATTTGACAGCTTTGACATGAAAGTTTTTTTTTTGGTCACAACATAATTACTGAGGATAGAATGCTGATGCTATCTGACTGTTTGTTTGCAGTTTGTACACAAGAGACAAAAAAATAGTCTGTCTTTAACCTTTTGATGCACCCTGTAACTCAATAACATGATAAGCTGTCCACTGTAGTAACCGCTGTCCCTGAAAGGGTTAACGAGTCAATAAAAGCAGCAGAAGGGCCGCCAGGTTCGTGAAAAGAGCTCAACTCGAGCCCACATGATCTGCTCCCAGAGGCCTTTATCTCCATCACTCATCAAAAGCAGACAAGGCCGTTACATTATGTCTGTGATTGTTTCTGGCAAAAGCGCAGATTTCCATTTTGTCTCCACCGCGGCATCAACAAGCAGGTGACATCAGCTTGACGGAGTGTGACACAATGGACAAGGAATTGATGCTCGTCAAGGCTCTCTTTGTTGTAGTCTGGCATGGGCTGTGTGTGTCTTGGAGGCGAAACGAAAAGCCTCACCTACACTTGACCACCAGCTGGAGTGGAGAAGAAGATTTGGGACGTCAATGCTTGGAAATGATCCTAAGGCAATATTTAACATGTCAATAAAAGGGGCCGCCACCAGACAGTGCTTTCCAAATTCTTTGCCATTGAAGTGATTGATGAAGACAAGCAAAGCAGGAAAATTGTGTGCTCCTTTATTTCCGCAAATTTCTATAGAACATTTCACTTGATGCGTCCGAGGCAGGCCCGCACTCGTCTAGCATCTATCATTGCTTTGATGAACAAAATCCATCAGGCAAGCTTTCGTTGCTCTTTCAAGGAGTTTTTTTTTTTTTACAATTGAAAACAGTTCTCAGGTGTCTTAATAACGACTGTGAAATACCTTTAGCAAAATACCCCAAAGATCAAAATTGATGGCGCACTTCAAACTGCCTTGCTCTTGTCACAGTGAAATTTGCATGTTTTTAGGGGCCATTTGAGTGACTGACTCTATCCCCCCAGCCTACATACTGCTGAGCCAATAGCGTGATATGAGTGAGTAATGAGTGGGTAAAACAAACAAGTGCCCATCAAGACAATAAAAGCACTTTTACTTGTGGAGGCAGCAGCTGATACACTATAACAGGGGTGTCAAACATACCGCCCGTGGGCCTGAACCGGGCCCCAATGAGGTTCGGTCAGGCCCGCAGGATAATCTAAAAGTGAAAAAATGCATTAAAGACACGAAATGAATATTTTTCATAAAATGCACTTCATGCATTATCCACTAGGGGCACACTGTTTTGATCAAAGTAGAAGACAACATTGTTTTGATTAGAGAAGAAAACAGCAGTCTCAGTCTGTCACTGAGACAGACCGAACACATCAGACAGTATCAATGCACCAATACTTCTTTATAGCAAAACAAAGGAATGACATGATATTTTGGTTATTTATAGCAGAGTATGGTATCATGTTAATGGTTCGGCCCACTTGACATCTACCGAGTCTTTTTTATACATTTTAGAGTTATTTTCAAGATCCTCTTATTTGTTTTCAAATCTCTAAATGACCTCGCGCCACCTTACCTCTCTGAGCTCATCCGCCCCTACACACCTGCCCGGCGCCTCAGGTCTGCGGACCAGACATTATTAGAAGTACCAAGAACTAAACGGAGGCTCAGAGGGGATCGAGCCTTTTCTGTTGCTGGTCCCTCTCTCTGGAATGACCTCCCACTGAACATTCGGCAAGCCTCCTCGCTGCCCATCTTCAAAACCCGCCTCAAATCTCACTTGTATTCTTTGGCATTTGACTCAGCATGACTTAGATTTGCTCTTGGTTTTGCTGTTCGGTGCTTTCTACCATCTTTATTACCGATTTGCTTTACTGTTTGTTGTATATGTTGAATTGCTCCATGTACAGCACTTTGTATACAGTGATGGCTGTTTGAAAGTGCTCTATAAATACAGTTGAGTTGAGTTGAGTATGTGACCCACAATGTGAAATGAGCGTGACACCCCTACACGATAGTGACAAGACTTGAAAGTTATTTTTTTTGTCTGTTTGTCTAAAACAGGGATGAGCAACTGAAAAATTGTGCCATCCCCCGCCGTCCAGCATCAAACACATCTTAAGGAACAGCAGAGGCCCTTCCCCAAAGAGTTCCTGAACAGCTGGAAGCACATATTTGTCTAAAGTGTCTTACAATGATTAAAAATTCAGGGGGAACCAATCCAACCCAAAGTGATGTACTCATTAATTGATAAGGTTCATGTCCCCATGCTTTTGTCCATATCAGACCCACTTCAAACACTATGTGGGCTCTGGGTTTGTTTCAAGTGTGTGTTTAGACTGGCCGAGCGGAGTTACAGGGACAGAAATGAAAGCAGGCGATGTCATATCAGGGTTGGTCTTATCCTGAAACATTCCTCTCAAAGTCGCCGGCATCAACAACACGGCCGCATTTAGCCTATTTAAGAGTTTTTATATGAGGTTGGATGCATAAATTGTGCAGCGCCCTAATGTAGCACAACCCAAACAGAGCCACGCTCATGAAAGGACACCGTTGAGACGCTGGGGCCCGACTTGGGGCTAACACCTTAATCCGCTGTGTATCTATCACACGGGAGAGAAGATTTTCACCACGGTGAGTTACGGCTAGTGACAGGTTCCCGAACGCGGCGGCACGTTCGGCTTCGCGGGGCATTAGGTGGGGGGGCAGGAATGTAGCGCTATGTCTGGAATTTCAGATGGATCCGCATGCCAGCCAGCTCGTCTCTGACCACCCTGACTTGCCACCACCCTCTCCTCGCCCTCCTGCCCCCTTCCTCCACCTCAACTTCCTGGCAGTCTTTTTTTTTTTTTTTTGATGGCGGTGGGTAGCTCCCCTGCAAAGCTGTTGTTCTATTTTCAGCTCTGGTGTTTGACTGTGAGCCTCTATTTGCCCATCCTGTTGCATGAGCGGAGGTTTTCTCTGATTAGGGTGGGGGACACACCCAACATGGCGGGAGTGGATCATTTGTTCATTTATTTTTAAAGACAAAACAGAAACTAAAAAAAAAAAAAAGATGACATGTTTCTCAATATTCATTCCAAGACCAAAATGAACAAAAAAAAAAAAAAACAATTCCTGATTTTGTGCATAAATGGAAAATGGAAACAAAACAGATAACGGGCAATTTGGACGTTTCATTCAATTCTGATATTTTCATCCGTATGAACCAGAAGGAAATTCGAACCAAATGAGAGAAGTCACCTTACTCATTGTAACTTCACTTATTTCTCTTGAGACTTATGCATGAGCTCACTTGAAAAAAAAAAATCCTACTTGGGCTTGTTTTGTTGCATAAATCGGACGTGGTTATGGTACGAAAAAAAATCAGTTTGTTGAAAAGTTAGATGCATCATGCTTAACATCGCTTTTCAACAAATTGTACACTGAAAACAATATTGGGCTAAACTTGATGCGTTTGCATGAAAGAAAGCCATCTGAATTCAGGAACATTTTGAAGTCGGCGATACATCTACTTTACAGCTAGTCGACTACACATCTACTCAAAAAAATGTATTTATATCCAGATGTTTTTATTTTGTGCAATCATTTGACAAAATAAAATTGAGTCAATTCAACCAACATGTTTTCCATATGTGGTCCTCACTACTTATGCTCACTTGAACAGCTGCAAATATGAGAACGATCACCCCAGTTTGCTCTATTTTCTGCACATTAAACATCTCACTTTCCAAATGTGCTCACCAAACTTCGATGAGGAAACCGCTAAGCGGTTAATAAATTCTAAATATTGGGGCGATTGTTCAGATAATTTCAGAAGATGAGGTTTAGGCATGAGTATATGAGTATGTCCGCATGAATTTTAATGACGATTGGTCACAGCTTTCGGATGCTGCACAAAGTTTTCTGTCTCCTTATCACTTCAATATTTGTGTTTCAGGGAACATTTTATATATTTTATGTATACATCAACAAATTATTATTATTATTATTATTATGTATTTTATATATTTTATGTATATTTTATACATTTTATATATTTATGTATATTTTATTTAGTTTTTTTGGTAACAAGTCTAGATAAGTTCAGTGTTTAAGAAGTGCATTCCACATTTTTCGAATTAAACTAAAGTCTATTGACCAACCAAAATGAAGGGTATTTTAATATTTGAGGGGTTTTTTTGTAGCCTTTGCGATTTGAAAATTGCATTCTACTACATTGTGATGGTTGGCATTCGATAAGTCTTCAGCAGTTAGTTTAAAGTGTGTAGGTGGCATAATGATATTAACATGGTCTCTCTCTAGCACAGATTTTCACATAGCGGGTGGCTCTGGACACACTAACGCACGGGTGTCAAACTCAAGGCCCGTGGGCCAGATCGAGCGCGCCACATCATTTAGGTGGCCCGCGGAAGCAAATCAAACATGTCAACTTCCATGATGCTTGCTAAAATCTCAACCAAAATTTTAAATTCTCATATGTAATAAATAAGAGACATATTGTTAGGATTTTCTTGTCACCAAACCTCTCATTACAGTAACTTAAACAATAGTTGAATAAACCGTTATTATTGACTTTTTTAAAATTTGGTTTCAGTCCTCACGGCCCTCCAAGGGAAACGGCAATTAAAATGTGGCCCACGCCAAAAAAATGAGTTTGACAACCCTACTCTAACGTATCCTCCGCGGTTTCAATATTCACTTTGTTGACTGTCAATTTGACTGTGTTCTATGGCAATCGTCACACATTTCCTCTTTGCCATCAATAAAGCACATTCAGAACTAGAATAGACCTTCCCCAAAGCCAAACAATCCGGAACATGCTTGTCTGACTTATATTAGCCTTGTAGCTACAGCTGCATGTGTTAGCTCTGAGAGATT